ACGCAAGCGACACGGATGGTGATTCAACGGTTGCGTTATCACATTGCTTTCCCTCAGTCTTGTGCCAAATATAATACCTAAATTGCTTAGCTTATGTACATTTCTGCAATACAGGAGAAGGGGCACTCCGGGAAATGGGGGAGAAGCTCCCTGCCTGCTTTAACTATTCCCTGGAAGGGACCATTTTCTTATTCTTCTAGTCTGTGCTCTTCTTGCCTTTTTTTTTTTCTTTTCCTTTTCCATTTGCATTACCATTTAGCATTAATGCTGATGACTCCTTTTTAACAAAGTGTCCATGGGCGAGTGGCCTGTGCCTCAGGCTCCACGGACGAGCCAGCCTCTGGGCAGAGCACAGCACATTCCAGCCCCCAGGCTCGGGGCTGGTGTACAAATAAGGAAGCAAATGGTCCAAGTCGGATTGACTTTCAATGCAGCAGGAAGAGCAGGTGGGTGGGTGCAGGAAAAGGAGAGATTAATAGGAAAAGAAGTCTTATTTTTAAAACTTCAAAGAGAAAACTTAGAGCAGGACCAGTATATCGGCAAGAACAGCACTTCAGCTATGAAACAGGCATTTCATAACGGGAAATACGGTGGCATCCTTACATAATGCTGTAAGGGAGCGCCAGAGGAGAGGTTCTACCTCTTGCACAACTATATCTCCATTTTTCTTCACAGAAGCAAACTGTGAAGCTGAGCAGGTCACGTGTGTGTTGCCAAGTACCTTGTCAAGGCCAGCACCCACATCAGAGGATGCACCCTCTCTCAGGAGAGCATCCCTGCAGCAGGCAGGTGAGCTTGGCAGCAGCACTGCGCAGCAGAAGCGCCTGCAGACAAAGTGCTGCCTAGTCAATGCCGATAGGAAAGTTTTTCTTGGAAAAAGGTGTTTTTCAGTTCTATTTCTAGCTCAGGTGCCTCTTTTTACTGGAACGAGTAGCTAGGCAGGACACTCACATGCAGAAAGCCAAAAAGCCACCACTGGCCCAGCATCACCCTCTTGGTAAAGGCAGAGAGCACTGGCACATTGGTGCCCAGGTAATACATTGCCAGTGGTTTGATTCCAGCCATTTGGCTGCAGCGCATCAGGAACTAGACAAGGTGACCAACATTTAACGCTTCTCTTCCAATACCTGGTGTAAAAAATGACAGGTTTAATTACAGCATTTATTTTTTTTAAAGGACAGCTGTTACTGTCATGCTATGAATTAACAAACCATTCTGAGCAGATTTGTACCATACACACAAATCTAAACCAGCTGTGAAGACAGTTTATCTTGGGGTTTAATTTTTTTCTGCATAGTCTCACTTTTCAGCTTCATATGTTTCTTTTTTCTGATGTGCTAAGATTGTAACAGAGCAAGCTACCTGTGCTCATCAGGATCTGGTGCCACAAGGTTTAGATCTCAGATGGGGCACTCGGTGCCACCAGAGTAAGTTTATTTTGGTATCACAAAGATGCTGGTTGTGCATTCACAATTACATTGAAGGAACATAGTTATTTGCTCCCATGAGCACTCAGGTGTTTGTGTCAAGTGAACCTGGACACAAGCACATCACAGAGGAGCCAACACATAGAAGCTGCTCTGGAAAAGTCCAGAGAAAGGTGTGCGCTGCCATTTTGCAATGTCGCTTGAACTCCACCTACTAACAGAGCAACTTTCCTTTACAAAACCTAGCCAGGCCCATATGCATTGTATGAAGCAGAAAAAGAGCAAAGAAAAAAAAATAAAACCCAACATACCACTCTTGGGAGCCTGGCTTTCTCCCAGGTCTCTGGCCTAGATCCCTGCAGATTTTCTAAGTGACTGTTTCTTTGCTATCTATCCTCCTTGTCCATCACACCTGCTTTGTCTGGTTGACTTCAGTGTTTTGCATTTACTTATTCCCACACCAAGGACCTGCTCTCCCTTTCCCTAGCCAACTACACCTTAGTGCAATAAGCTACAAAATGAGTTTCTATCAGAAATAAACCCAATGCTATCCCTGCTTGTTCCACTTCACAGTTCCGAGTTTGCTGAATGCAACACAAATTTCTTCTTTTGAAATAAAGTAGTAGCCAAGTACCTTAACAAACCTGAATCAATTTGGGGAACTTTCAGGAAACTCTAATATTACAGCTGCCATTTAATTCTCAAGGCAATAAAAAGGACCAAGAGGCCAAGTCGCCTCTGAAGGTCTTTCATGTCAGTTTGCTACACAGTGTGAACTTGTTTTACAAGTGCTCTGTTTACAAGAATGGGGGCGGGGAGAATGTTCATTTAAACCCCACAATCACATAGGGCTGCTTTTGTAAAGGTCTGATCCAGTCCTACCAGCTGCTTGCCCACAAAACTTTGCAGTTGTGAAGGCTAATTAAGATTCTTCAGAGGAGCTCTCCTCTCCTGACGGTTGCAGAAAGCCTCATTAGACATGCTGTACCTCCCCCTTCACCCAGCAGAATGCCCCACTGTCCTTGGTTTATGTTATGGCTTATGAATTAACCAATTGACTCTGAAAATATCATTACTCTTGGGCTAAACAGAGCTGTTCCCTTTAAGGGAAAAAAGTCAGGGCTCCACATAGAAATAAGCTGATACCATATTACTACCTACAAACTCCCTTCCCTCTCACAGGGTGAGTGGAGGACTCACTTGCCAGGGATGCAATGAGTTCAGTATAAAGGGAATCTATCATGGCTTTCTGTGAAGGTGGGGAAGAAAGTCTGGGCCTGGGCAGTAAGCACAACTTTATGGCTGCAAAACTTTACATTTAGTCCTTAAAGTGGTTTTAAACCAGAACCAAAACTGATTTAAAGCCCAAACTAGGGAATATATAATTGTTTCCTCCTCTTCCTGAATGTTTTGTGTGTTTAGCTACACCCCTTTCAACTAAAAAGAATATTCACCCCTTCCCCAAACTAAAAATGAAAATATTAAAAACATGTTCACAACTTCACTGCACAAAACAACGTATATATTGTAATAACAAAATGCTTTATTTTGGGGGAATACAAGGAAAAGTGTGACATCCTCATTATCAAATTGTTTTAAAAAGGCATTCTTTCTTTGAAAAACATAACACTTGTACAGAAAAGGTGACCTGTGGGTAAGCCCTCTCATTTAGCAGTGGGAATTATTTTTTATTTTACAGATGAAATTGGGATTTGAATAATCTACAGCAACAGATTTCAATTTTCTTGATATTTTCTAGTAGCTTGGGGCACACCTGCCACTTGGCCCTGCTCTGGTTTGACAGCCTACCAGTAGGCTGACAATACAATGCTGAGATGGAGCTATCACAGTTCTCACCCAGGTCGCTTTGCTACAAACCACAAGACTTCACCATTACCACAAGAAGACAGTGAGAAAGCCACAAGGTAACTCATCTTCTCTTTTATCTCCGAAGACTTTTCATGCAAGCCCTACGCTCATGAAATTCTCGCACCATTCATCTGATTACACCTCAGTACTCCACCACACATGCCCTTTGCTGCAAGCCAGAACTGTGTTGTGAAAGGTATACAGCAGATCAAAGGCAAAATACAATTATTTCCCCAATGTTTCTGCTTTCTGTACAGTAGGTTCCAAGTAAGCTGGGATATGTTTTAAAGACCGCAAAATTATATCCATAAATTACTTCTGCCTTCTCTGAACCTTACTCTAGAATTTACATTGTTAAAGAAAAGGACTGGGAAGTTCCTAAAATGGTCAGGTTATAAAGTAAGCATTCAACCTTTAATCCAGCATGACAACTCTCTGCCACAAGTAGTATCCACGCTCAGCAGCAAGATACATCGGTCGTACTGTTTAAAGGGGGTTCATATTGTCTGAAGCGGCAATGGCAAACTCTAAAAGAACTAATGGTTTTCTTTATTCAGGTTAGACATAACAAATGTCAGATACAGCAGTTAGTCTAGAAAAATACATTTAAAAAAAGTCTTCAGCAGACCATGCTCCCTGTAACAAAATCTTTCAAAACCAATTTTACAAATTATTCTACATTAATGTAAAAAGAAAATCTTAAATTTAGCATCCTGGATTCCATCAAACATCTATCTACCAAAACATGAGTTTCACTATTTGTAGATGTTAGAATTCATAATACATTTTTCTAATGTATCCTGTACATATTAAATAAACTAAAAGGCTCCTCTTGTAGTGCATTAACAATTTAGCAAGCACACTCAGTATTTCTCCAGTACCATTTGCATTACAGTTATTTGCCCGCAAATGTAATTAACATCTAAAAGTGCACACAGTTAGGTTCCCCCCTCCCTCCCCATAACCTGTTTCCCTGCTGAAACCCAGACATCCACTGGAAACATTATGCTACTGTAGCTAATCTACCCATGATTAGAAATGTGTGACTAAAGTGTCTTAAACTATACAGGAACTGAATTATATACAAGAATCAAAAGGACAGCCTGTATTTACATCAAGAAACTTCCACTACCACAGCATTATACCAAGAACTCAATACAGTGTTACAGTTGGTATTTACTTAGGATTTTAGCTTTAAATCAGTATAACACAAAACTTAGCTCAGGAAATAACCTGAAAAAATGAACATGTTTATTAAATATGACTTCTATTATGCCACAAGACAAATATCCATTGCTGGATATTCTTACAAGTTCAGTGTTTGAAACAGTGTGCTGTTCTATAAAGCAACTGAGAAGTTCCAGAAAGGTTGCTGGGGGAAAAAAAAAAGAAAAGAAGAAAAGAAAAAAGAAAAAAGAAGAGGAAAAAAGGAAAAAAGGCAACAGATATCAAGTGAGGAATTAGATTTGAATAACTAAACCAACCTGTTAGCACAAGTTTAAGACAGTCACTGCATGCAGAAACCCCTTGGAAAAGTGTCATACAGATCTGAGTAGGTTGTAATACATAAGCTAAGATGTAACTTCACTGAATTTTTCCATACCAGTTGGTAGGACTTTTTTCTATCAAGTGGAAGAATTTTAAGATTAAATTCCAGATTATCCAGTTTGAGATTAATAGCTTTACTCTCCGAGAAATCCAGTGTATGTACCTATATTACATTTTTCCAATGCTACTTTGAAAAAGGCAAACTATAAACTGTTCAATTCACTTTTTACATTGAACTTTTCAAAGAAATCCAAAGTGTTGTCTTTAATTCGCATTAAAGTGGTCAAACATTTCTCCTGTTTCTCCCCTCCCCAAAAGTGCAAAAAACAAGTTGCTGCTTGGTCCACAAACATAATACATCACGTACAGCAAGAGATTTTCCTTCTGATGGAGTACTGCTGCCAACCCATCACTTCCAGTTTCTACTCCAAAAAAAATGTCAGCGTCCGAAGATGGAATTCAATTCCAGTAGAATTAATTCTACAATCTGATTCTGGTATACTGTGTGGACTGCTATGTTACCAGTCTCTTTCTCTGGTTTTAATAAGGTTGGACCAAAAACTATTGCTACACTTTGATAGGTCATTCGGTTCTTTTCTCCATTTTCTACAACTCTGAAAGAGAAAAAAAGAATACATAAAAAGAGACTTATCAGTGTTAATGGGATGACAGCAAAAAGACACAGTCCAAAGTAAATGACTATTCACAATATTTATTTAATGAGTAGTCTTGTTATTAGGACATACAGCTGCTGTGATTCCCCTCTCTATGGAAAAGTTTTGTTTTGAAATGCTATTCCTGACCCTCTCACAATCCCTCCAATGTAAGGACTTGGCAGTACACATCACAACTATGACACATACTGTCTAAAGTCCATTTGGTGCTCTACAAGCTTGTATAAATACAGACTGATATATTGTTTTCATGGAGTCCAATATAGGCACAAAAAATGCAGTGGGAACAGTCACCTAGTGCTTTTAATTGGATTACTTAGCTTTAAGGGAGGATTAGCAATACAAAGCCTTTCTTTCCATCTGCTACTTACCTCTTCAGGTGTCTAAAGAGTACCTGCATAGTGTCCTGATTTGGTTTTGGCAACTGTTTGATTAAATCTTTAACAGCATGGACACGCTGCCTTGGTTCTTGTTCTGCAAAAGGATGAGGTGTAGAAACAAAAATTCAGTATTTTGGTTTAAAACTTTAGCATAAAATTTAACAGACGGGGAATAAAAGCGAAGGTTGCGCAGGGCTAATATGAGATAAAATCCTGCCACCTGCTGGCCACACCGTGCATTGCCGACAGGCAATTTTAGGTAAGCCTTACAGGCGGTTGTAAGCAAAACTCCTTTCTACTGTCCAAAATAATTATATGAATTGTACACATTGCGTGTTTTCCAAACTTACTAATTGCATTCACAAAGTCATTGAAGTGATTATAAGTGAACAGTGGCTCTGGCAGTTCTCTGAAAAACATCTTTAGAGCTCCTGTGATGACATGTATATCTTCCCATTTACTGTCATTCAAGTCTAGTTTTTCATCTGAGAGAGAAAAAGGAATAATTAATGTTAATAATTTAACTATAAAAACTGTTTTCCAAACTTACTAATTGCATTCACAAAGTCATTGAAGTGATTATAAGTGAACAGTGGCTCTGGCAGTTCTCTGAAAAACATCTTTAGAGCTCCTGTGATGACATGTATATCTTCCCATTTACTGTCATTCAAGTCTAGTTTTTCATCTGAGAGAAAAAAAGGAATAATTAATGTTAATAATTTAACTATAAAAACTTATTTTTTTCCCCCCCCCCTTTTTTTTTTTAGTAAACTTAACTACTTTTCTGTACTTATAACTTTTAAAACAGTGAATGCTCTTACTCCACTTCAGCACATTCTGTGCTGGGATACAGAGCTGCAGCAGTGTAAAAGGAGATACAAAAAAAACCTGAACCACTACAGACATGGTCAGACTCTGCCTTCTGCACTATGGGCAGCTCCTCTACAGCAAGGGCATTCTCCTGAGTGGAATAGGAGCTGCTGAAATAACAGAAAATTTGCTGCTAGACCCTGTAAATCAGGAAATGAGAGGTCAGGCTGTAGATGGGCTGCTGTCCTAGTTCCTAGTTGTGAGTTGCCTATGGATTCTCACTGAACGAAACACTAAGATACAGCCACAGGAAAAGGTTTTATACACCAAGTATGGAAAACAGGAGCTAAGCACCCTCAAACTAAAAGGCAGTAGCAAATTTCACTAAAAAGCATTAACTTACCATTTTAATGGTAGTGGAAGCTTAATATGCTTCCTGTTTTTCCTTAAGTATTATGTTATTTTGTTTGAAAAAATGACCCCGACCCCAAATTCTGTTACCATTTTTCCTTAGAATTAATTATGTTCTAGCAATGCCTCTATGTTCCACGTAAGACCAAACCTCCAGGATGCTAGGTTTTTCAAATTATGTACATTATACATCAAATTCTGCAATTCTGAAGTAATTTTACTTTGAAGATAATAATTTCTCATGAAAGACTACAGTTATGCTTTAAGAATTTTTTTTTCCTAAGTTTTCTATGAACTCCAACAATCTGCAAGTATACACAATTTTAATACAGTTGAAGGAAGCTTACCATGATTGACTGCAAATCTTAGCTTCTGTATCACTGCAAGATTGCCACTAACTCTGTATAAGCCGTCAACATCTAATCCTAAAACAAAGGGATAAATCCATTTTAATACCTTACACGTATATAAATTCTGCAATCATAGGTGTGCTCAGCAAAATTAAAACCAAAAGAAACCCACCTTGTAACAAAGAACACTTGGTTCGACAACAAAAACAGTTGGTTAAACTAGCTTTTTTGATGGGGAGGGTATATCAGAGGAGGTTTAGTTTGCTGACACCAGTATGGTAGTGTCAAGCTCAAAGTAATCTCTAAAACTTCCCACATAATACAACAGCAGCAACGAGGCAACAGCCCCAAGTTTCCCCAGTGAGACTAGGTGTCTCATTTAGGATGCTTTTGGTGGGTAGGCAGGGGTATGTGGAGTCCCACATGCAAGAACCAAGTATCTTGTGGATGTTCAATTTTTTAATGTATGGTTAAGAAAAACCAAATCAAGTCATGCACAGAGAGCATCTCAAAGTCGTCAAGTGACCAGGTTTGCATGGAGAAGGAACAATGTGCATGCACACTCAGCACTAACCAACAACCTACAAAACTCAAATAGGTAGCCCTTGCCTTTACAGTATGGCATGCTCAAACAGAGAAGAAGAAAACTGTGTCTCTGTGGTTGCTATTGCAGCTACTTAGAAGTGATTAGGAAGTAAAGAATTTAATTGAAATGCCACTTGAATGCAGCATGTGAGTCAGTGCCACTGAGAAGGGTGAGTGTTGCCAGAATACCTGCAAGTCCCTGTAGCTCCTCAAGGAGTTGTCTGATGCAACACAGCACAGTTACCAGCACCAGCTGACATATCCCTTTTCCCCATAATTCACTAGTCATTCCTTTACAGAAAGAACTGATTTGAAGCGTATTGGCAGTAGGAAGAAGAGTTGGAGAAGTGGGGGGGGAAAAAAAGCTATTCATTTCTGTCAGCTTCCCCTCAGGTATTTAAAAAAAGTAAAACTTCACCACTATCTTCAATGCAGTCCTGTCTTTAAAACAAAAAAGGAAGTGGGGGGAAAAAAAAGAAAAAAAAAAGAAAAAAGAACACAGCAAAATAACCCCTTTCTCACAAGCTGCAGATCACAAACAGAATAAAGCCTGCTGTTACAGGCAAGGTGGCAGTTGGTTGAACTACAGTAAAACAATGGAAGCAGCTATTTTTCCCCTCCCAGGCCGTAAGACAGCAGCATTGAGAAAGAGGACTACAGGCTGCAACAAAATCCTAAATGAAGTTCCCATGGAAAATGACTTAAATTTCACATGTACTATTCCCCTGTAACACTTACCCTGATTCTCAAGAGAATGCACTCAGATTAACAGGCTAGTATATATTTGAATGATGATTACGGAGATTCCATAACCCCCTCCCAATCATCTTTTCCAAGACAGGGCAATGACAACAGCAAGAAACAAGCAAGAAAACCAGCACAGACTACAGCCAAGTCAGGAGTCACGACCAACAATTTCAACAAAAACGTGAAGATGTCCTTAAAACCCAGAATGTCACACATAGCTTTCAAACATATAATTTTCTCAGTTATTACACAGGAGAGACTTATTTAGAGACTTAAAGCAAACAAAAATCATCAGTGTCCACATATTGACTCAATCTCTAGAACTGCATAGAACTTCACAGAGCAATTGGTGTAACTGGCTGAAGGGCATCAAGCTGATAGAATTCTCTTCTGGCAGTCAAAGCAAATATAGAGCAGGAATACTTTTTCTGAGAAGTTTGTTTCAAGGAAGTTTTAATATAAGTGATTTTGTTACCATACTTAAACCTTCCAAAAATTAACTGCTGCCTTTTGACAGTCTCTCTCTCTTTTACTCCGAAAAAAAATACTGATGGGCTGAGCTCTTCTATCACTTGTAATACCTCCTTCCTTCGAGCCTTCCTGCCAGAAGGCTATCTTGCCTTTTTGTCAGCTTCAAAGATACTGAAGCTGATCAGTTTCTGAGATACAAAATTTCCTCCTCCATTTCGGATCCAAGGTACCTCCCCACTCCTGAAAACTCATTGCTATCTACAGATACAGCATTTCAGACTTTTCCCAAATAAATCTGCAACATTTTAAGGATTAAAACGTGTAAAATTAGATAGTGTGGCGAGCAAGAGAGATTTGGAAACAAAAAATTTTCACCATACCATGTTCCTCAACATGCTCAATGCACAGCTTCACGAACTTTGGCACCGTGCTGTTTTCTCTTTGACACAGGCTGGTGAGATTGGAACCAAACACTTGATCTGGAACCAAGTAAAGAGACTGATTTACAGCGGAACAGGACTCAAGTGACAGAACTAGTTCAGGTTAAAACAAACCTCTACAAAGGACAAACACTACTGGATACAATTGTCACAGTATTAGAGTGAAAACAGGAAAGTTTTGAGAAGAGCTCTCAGCAGCTCCCAGCAAGAAAGAGCTCCCAGTAATAAAGAGTGTCAGCGGGTACCCAAATGTGAGTCTCTGAGTAAGGAACTTTTGCCACTGAAATAATTTTAATCCATCAGGAGATACTTGTAAGAGTCATATAGGTCATTATTGTAAAGAGAAATTTAGTGGATTCAAATGTCCTGTTACGCTCCATTCCTGTTCTGAGTTCAAAATACATTTACTATAATCTTTGTTAAAAATCTGAACAGAGATCATTAATGAAAGTGAAAGCTTTTGGCACTGCTTGGGGAAAAACTCTGTAAAATTTCATCTTTCATCGCATCTACTGTTTAACCCAGCATTACATATTAATTCACTTTAACGTGGAGTCTTTAACTTTTAACATTTTTAAGTTCTGATGTGGATTTGTAAATGACAGACCTTTGTAACAGAGCTCTGAATGGATGTAGGTATGACTGTGCACAGGCAACCTGGCTGCAAGGTTGGAATCTAATGTAATTTTGAGTCTTCGTTTTCAAAACTACACAATCTGGGGTGAGTGTTTTCTATCATAAACTGGAGCAAAAATGAAAGTCAGCTTGGGCAGAGAACAGATTCTTGCAATGTCTCAGTGTATTTTAGCAACATGTTAACTCCTCTTGTTATCATCAAAATCTTTCCCAGACCCATTTCTGTGGTTTTCATCCAAGATGCCCAAACAATAGAAGACCTCCCCGTTCAGATGCATGAGACAAACAGGGTCTTGAGATAGTGAGGCAGAGCTCACACTCTTAAAGGGAAGAAAGGTTTTTGTTTATTATTATTTGGGTTTTTTTAAATCTTTTAAATAAAGTATGTAAGTGGCCGTCTTCACAGCATCTAGAAGAAGTTCAGAGCTTATGCAAGAGAGAAAATGCTCTTGCATTTGCATCATGCATAGCATCTATCCCATTTTTCATGCTTAGTAATTTAAGTAGATTCGATAACAACACTTGGATCTGACTCTGCTTTGGAAAATCCAAACAGCACACCAAACCAATTATCCACTATGAAAACTGGCATATAGTGGAATTACTAGCTGCATGCATGTAAGACCAGTGACTCAAAACACCTCAGTCCTGCTGCTGCTACTTACTCAGTCACCTGTATAAGCAGAATCAGCAGCAAGGGACTGAACAAGCCCATGCAGTAGAAAGGCCAGGCTAGCATGCAGCTGTAGCAGGTAAAGCAATGCAGATTAGGCAGCACAAGGAAATACTAGCTTGTGACAAACTGATTTGCTAAAATTGCCTCCAATTTTAATAATTTCCACATATACAGGAATCATATTTTTCCTCTCATCTTGAAGTAACTTGTGTAATTTTGTTTTTCCATGTAACAAAACTTTAGCACAGTTACTCCTCTGCCTAATGCATGCTGTTTCAAGTGGTTTTTTTTCTAGAACTTTTTATTATTTTTTCTGCTTATACCAGGTTTGCCAAGTGTTCTGTTTACTAAGCTCATTTTGTCTCAGCCACAAGAGTACACTGGGCTTTTAAATAGACTTCTGTATTTTTCATTCATACAGTAAATGTAAAACTGTACAGCACAGGTACAACTTTTAAAATCTACACCATGCTTTTAAATAAAAACAAACTCTTCATTCCTTTATGTCTTTATTAAAAATCCAATCACCAGCACACATGTGTACAAATTAAACTTGGCTTAGTGTTCACTGCTGCTGATGTCAGAAGTTATGTCACTGAGCCATGACATGACAAGTTGTACAACAGAGCAAAACGTCAAAGTCTGGGAATAACATCTCCTTATCCCAAACAAAAATTCCGTAATTTAAAGTTAAATTATATTTGCAGATACACAAATATATCAAGCACCACATGCAACAGAAGCACACCTGTTAAAGTACATAGTCAGGCAAATCACAGTAGGATTTGGTCTGCTATTTGCCTATCTATATGCTATTTTGACCCTAGCAGAGCACCACCTACAAGTCCTGCTAAAGCATGCAAATAAATAAATAAAGTTTTGCACTGAGTACCAAGTCAATAATTTACACAACTTAAACCTGTGCAAATATTATTCTTTTCAAGTTTCTAAAACTGTGACAAATGGAAATGAATTCTTTTGTAACTCTGATTCAACAGTAAGACACTGTTTGTGAAACAGTTTTGAAGAAGTATACATTCCAAAAAGGTTAGGGGAAAAAAAGATGTTTAAGTTAAGATTCCTTTAGCCCCATCCTGGTTTGCCTAAATAGTTCATTTCTTACAAGATGGCACATGATTGTGTGGTTCCACTCAGACTAAAACACCCTTGTGAAACAGATGAGCACATGCCTTCAACCTTGTACCCAAAGGGCTTTTGTTTCCTTTGTGTGCCCAAATCATTACCAGCTATCTGAAATTTCCAGTTCAGAACAGCAGACCAAATGGGCTCTCTAGCTAAGAAGCACTCCAAGTCCAAACAGGCTCCTGAGCCCTCAATTTTCACTGCATTTAATGAGCTGAAGGAGAAGACATCCCCTGTGAAGTTTAGTGGCTTGTAGCAGTGCTCAGAAAAATTACAATCACCAGTTCCACTACACATCCAAGACTTTTGTTAAACCAGTTATATACATGTGTTTTACTCTAAAACTAGATAATTTTAACACAATTTTACTCATGGACTACTAAATTCAGCTTTTCAAATTATTTCCTTTGTTAAAAAGGTTCATTTACCCTTAATGTAGCCTTTTTCACGGACAGCTTGTAACGTAGGGCGGCGTGTAAGAAACTTCTTGAGCTTTGTTTTGGTCTTTTTCTGATCTGTGGAATCTATATTGCTAGGTGCTTTCACTGCTGAAAAGAGAAATGCATTTAGGATAAACACCCCCAGAACCAACACTGCATTTATCAAAATTTTAAAAAATTAAGCTCAAAACCATATGAAATACTTATTCAAATTTGCAATGCATCCACATTTTTTTCCTGAATTTTTTGGACCGCCTTGTAAATAGCATCCATTTTTCAAAGCACCAAGAGACTACCCTATCAAAAAACACTTGTAAAACCAAATGCTGCTGTGAAAGTAACTAAATGGTAGCTTACATATGGAACTGATATGGAATTTCAAAAATATAACTATGTTGCAAAAGCAGTCCTGCCTCTTATTAACTATTTTGGAAGAAATAAATACTTTCTTGCAAATTACATAAAAGGTCCGGAAGTAAAAGACAGAAAATAATCTGCCTAATATATTTATGTGCACAGGAAGAAATTTCTGCAGCTAAAAGAAATTTAGCTCTAAAATTCTGAAGGTGTCATTAAAAATGTTTAGTTTCTCTAAATGAGCCAATATAACACCACTAGCAACTTCAACGAAATTGCGGTTTAAGTTAATAGCTCAAGTATTTACAAACGCTGTACCACAGACAAAAACCGAGTTAAACAATTCTAATCAGTGTTGAACATGCAAAAGGACAAAAGAATTCTTACCCACAGTAGTTTACAAAAGTCAGAGAATACAAATGTCTAATTACTTCTGTGCATTTGAGATCATCTTGAAGATAATCCATTTCACCACTGCCTATTTTCTCCTATTTTTCATGCGTCACACAGCAGAAGCTAAAGATATTTGGTACTTCTTTAAAAATCCACTAACTGGCATCAAGATGTAGACTGAACTATATCAAAGTGTGTTTCCAAACTTGAGTAGTTTCATTTCTAGCTGTCCTTTTGAATTCTTCTCTATTTGCACATAAGACTGAAAGTGCAAAAAATAAAATTTGGCATTGCTAAAATAAATTAATGGAAAATTTTCAACTCACAACGAAGTTTAATCTTAGAGTCTTTATTCTCTTTCTCTTTTTCTTTGTCTTGTTTTTCCACCCCAGGGGAATCTGGTACATCATCTTCTAATGCTTCATCAGACTCTACTACCTATTAGATTTAAAAAGATATACATTTTGTTAATTCATAGAATACAGCATTAACAAACACATTTTCCCGTAGACAGTTCTACAATACACATTTCTTTCCCTCTAATGATATTCAGTTGGTTCTTTCCTGAACTCCAGATGATAAAAGTATCTTCAGAGACGATACCATTCACACTGGCAGAGTGAATAACAGAGAAACACTCAACAAAGTACAACCAGTCTTTCATGATTAACACTTCATTGCATCAACCAATAAACAGTAGAAACTTTTTTTTTTCCAAATCCAGTAGACAAAATCAGCTATTTCATGGTTGCTACAGAAGCACTTTTCTATTTTTTTTCTTTCTCTTTTTCTTTCTAAAAAAAAGACTTCTAGAGCATTTACCCTATTTCTGATCTCTGTAATTAAAATTTTCTTAAGAGAAAATAGAACTACCAGTTGGAAAATTTCACCACTGTCAAAGCATACACTAAATTCACTCTAAAAATGTAAATATACCAGCACCTAAAATCCTTGCCCTGTATTATGGCTCTTTCAGAATATTCTCATTAAACACAGGTGAAAACGTAGATCTTAGAATCACCATAGAATCCTTTGGTTGGAAAAGACCTTTGAGATCATCAAGTCCAACTGTATCTGTCCACTACTAAACAACATCTGAGCACCTCATCTACCTGTCTTTTAAATATCTCCAGGGATGGTGACTCAACCACCTCCCTAGGTAGCCTGTTCCAATGCTTGACAAGCCTTTCAGTGAATAAACTTTTCCTGTTATCCAATTTGAACCTCCATTGGCACAACCTGAGGCCATTGCCTCTTGTTCTATCTCTAGTTACCTGGGAGAAAAGACACACACCTGCCTCGCTACTACCTCCTTTCAGGTAGTTGTAGACAGTGATAAGGTCTCCCCTCAGCCTCCTGTTCTCTAGGCTAAACAACCCCAGTTCCCTCAGCTGCTCCTCATAAGGCTTGCTCTCCAGCCCCTTCACCATCATGTTGCAGTGCAGAGACAGATCCCAGTCTGTTAAACTGCCCACCTGCAGCATCACGCCTACGCTACACGCCTGACTGCAGAAACATCAGTAAATAGGAAAAGAAACTGCCTCTGGTCTCAGGGCAACACTCTCCTTTCCAAAACTTCACTTATTTCTTACTTCACTTCTACTAAAGTGAACCTGACTTCTACGCAGTTACAAAAATCCAACTGCACCGTGATTTCTGTTACAAGGAAGGACTTTTTAAAAATACAGCAAGGTTCCACACTGCAGAGCACTGAATGAGCAGAAGCGTGACTTCATCGATTAAGTTGCACTTTAACCTGAAGTGCTAATGTTAGCTTTAAAACACCCTCATTTCTTCTTGCTTTTCAAAAGCTTTGGATAACCTTTTTACATGTCAAAGACCAATACATTCAACTACCCAATTAATGCCCCTGCTAAGGATTCTTCTGCCACTGAGATCACTTGGACAGTGCTCTCTTCAAGAGGTTTCAAAGCTTTTTAGGACTTCCAAATTTTAAAACTATTAACTGCTTTGGGGAAAAAAAAAAAAAAAATCACTTGTAGTTTGTATTATGGAACAAGTCTAATAACTTGGAAATTTCTGTATCTAAAAAAGAACAGCCATATCCTTTGCAGATAGCTATTCCTCCCGTACAACAGACTGCCACAACAGCAGCTGGAAGGAGTGACGAGAACAGAACTGAAGCTGCACCTTCTTCTGAGGAAGATCTCATCACACTAGCACTAGCCACAGCTGTCCTGGCAGATTCACAGCTGCTATTACCATAAATTGCCAAAATCAAAAGTTTGCTTTGCATCGGATGGATTTTTGTAGTCAAAGCTTCAGAGCTCCAAATTATCAGGTAGCCTTATAATGTACTTTTTGAACTTTTCCCTTGTAATCTTAGGTCTCTCAGCTATCAGCTCCCAGCAATAATACATCACAATTTACTTCAGAGTGCTGATAAACTCTCCCTATTCCACCACTCACTTCCTCAACGTAACGTGTAATAACACCACGCTCTCATCTCAGCCTTTTCATCTTCATTTATATTTAAGCAGGGAAGTGGCCTCAGTCGCGTGACACGGGGCAGACAGGAGAAGGGTATTGCTGAGTGAATGCCTTGCCTGGTTACTAAGGGTCATGACATTTTCATACCAGGAGAGAGCAGAAGCATGCCTAAACCATGAGCACTCAGAAAGAAACTAAATCATGTATATTAGCTTGCTCTGTTTGGGTGGAAAACATGCATAGGTGGAAAACATTATCAGAGCTAAGGAAGATCACTGACTGACAGGGAGAGAAACATCAATGCAGCTTATGGGCAGCAAGCAGGCTTGTAACTATAAACATTAAGAATACACATGAAGTCAACTTGATACGAGAGGAATATTTTCTCCAAAATCGTCTCCAACTGCTTCTGAATTCAAAGATGGTAAATCTTGTTTGGCAGTATCAAGAGCAAATGCTTCATCACTTTTTTGTTGAATAAATAATTGGTATTATGTTGTCTGATAAGGAGAGATGATACAGTATTTTGCCAGGACTTTTAATTTGCACTTTAGTGCAGATTTATTAAGTGAATAGCAGTATCAAATGCTGACTAATGTATGTCATGAAGCACTCCCTCGGCCGTCCTTCCCCCTTCACTCCCTCTCTGTATCAGAGCCTTTCAGGTTACTGAGACAGAACAAGTATTTGGCCACAGAAGGAAGCTCATCTCTGAACTGGAGGTCAGCCCTCATCTGGTTCTTAATCCAGTGGAGCATCCTTTTTCCTTTGGCACTATTAATTATATTCCATTTGTCACCACCAGGAACTGCTGTATCCCTCAACCTCCTGCCCATGCTCAAGAAAAATCAAGAAATGAAGATGTACACAAAGCACTAGGAGTCATAACATCAATTATTTTACTAAATAACATTACCTTGAAAATAGAGCATTCATGATTCAAACACGTACCTGATTGTTGATGGTATAGTTAAGAACTTTATACCATTCATTAATAAAGCTGTCATTATCAGATTGAATTAAGAGCTCAGTTCCTTGGCGGGTTTTTAGCTTTAAAGAAATAAAAATAGATATAATCAAAATTGATAAACATAATAGAATTCAAAAGTGAAATTACCTAAATCAAATTAAATTTCTCCCTAGCATAACTTTTAGATAACATATAGCCACTGAAGAACACTTACCAGTGAAAACAGTAAATAACAGACTGCTTAAAATTTAAAAGCATAACCCATACAGACATATTCAAAATGCATATTTCTTGGAGGTATGCCTACATTTGAGCAGGAAGAAATGCAGAAAACTCAATTAAAGTTTTTGATTTTAGGTTTAGAGAAAATTTCTTTAGTCATTAATTAAAGTACATATACTTCTGTATTTAAATAAAATAATTTACCTCAATAACATTCTTTTTGCTGGATTTCTCCTTTGAGGCCCAGTCAATCAATGCCCCTTTGAGATCCACTGTAAATTCTGGCTTAGACTGATTGACACCAAACTTCTGGAAAAAAAAGAACAATGATGACAAACTTAAAAAAAAACCAAACAAAAAAACAAAAAACGAAAACCAAACAAATAAAGAAACTTCTAACAGCTATACAGTCTTGCAATCCTCTAAATATAACATACATTATTTACAGTCTATACAACATAACCGAAATACAGTACTTTGCCACAAATCAACAGGCATGATACTAGAAAATAAAAATCACACACAAAACACCCCTTAAGTATGCCTACTAAAAGCTGCTCAGCCTAAAGCCCTTAAAATTCCGTAACTTTAAATGCCAAATTCCAGCAGAGCTTTTTATTCTATCACAAATAGTAGGAGTCCATACAGCATCTGATTGTGGCATGATTTTCAGTCAAGACAGTCCCAAGCTTTAAACAAAGCCAGCTAGCAAGTAACTGAACAAAAAAAAAAAACCCCAACCTGTCAGTTAATCAACAGTTCTATATAAAACCAAATATGAAACCAGAAATAGTAGCTTTGCTAGACAGGAATCACATCCCTCCTGCACTCAAAGAGCATTTAGAGTTTTTGCATTTTTGTAATACATATATTTCATGTATATCTATATATATCTTCGTTTTTTTTCCCCCCAACAATGTTTTGACCTTTTTTTATATTTTCTTCAGTGTTTCTGTGGCAATACTGGAACATATCCCACCATGTAAACAGAACTCAACTTCACTGTCTAGCTACTAAACAAACAGCAAATAACTGAAGTGATAAAAAAGCATTTAACCCACAAGTAACCCTTCAAACAATCTGGAGGAAAACATCAGGGAGCTATTTTTACCTACTACTTTTACACTTATATTAGGTATCCCAAATTTTTTAAAATAAAATACTTTTAATAGGGTTTGAACCTACACCACACAGCTTTGAAATATCATTCAAAGAAATCAATTCAGTGACCCATAAAACAAAAGGCTCTAATTATGAGTAAAATAAGTAAAACACGGAACTAGGAAAGCTGTAAGTCACTTGGTTGTAGCACAGAAATTTAACGCTATACTTCTAGGGGAAGCTTGTAGCATCTGATCCATCAGAAAGGTTCTTTTCTATTTCTTTCAAAAGTCTTTGATGTGTGAATGCTGTTTCTGTGACAGCTCTGGGGGACATAAGCCCTGGGACAAGCTCCTTGCTGTGAACACAAGGTTTCCAGCCTGTACAAGAACAGCCGTATCCAAGGTGAGAAAAAAACGGTTCGGAAAACAGAACTAATCTGCTGCTTCTGATTAAATTCCCAGTATGGATGGTAATTAATGCTAATTGTGTTTTAGGAAGGCTGTTTACCACTGGAAAATCTCCCTGCCTTGAGTCCGAAGGGCAATTGAGTGTTGAATGGAAAGCAGCATCTCAACTTCTTTATTTTACCCATGAAACATCAGAATAGGGGAATATCTCTAATTTACACAATGCCAACTAGCACTTGAAAAAAAATTTTCTGTTTTCTAACTTAATTCTCAGATACCTCATCCAAGAGCATTTCTTATTAATTATATATTAATAATACATTACATAAATGACATACAATAATAATTATATATTAATCATTGCTGTAATTAATGGAGAGGCCCAGCTCAACAGTGTTGTTCACAGGAACAATCTCTGGGCCATTACAGCTCTTGTAGTTATGGGTGATTATGCAGCAGCTGCTTATTTAAGAGAGATTCACATAACTCTGTCACATAAGACCAAAGTGCCCCAGCCACACGCTTCCTGACAGCACAGAATAATCTTGCTGTGTGCTGGAAAAACAAACAAACAAAAACCCCAAACCAAACCAGACAAACAAACAAAAAATCAATTTCTAGAGTTTGGCACTGGAGAGAGCAGGAGACTAATGCCAAAGTCCTCTGCAGGATTGGGGGGATTTGTTAAAAACACTGCCTAGATGACGCTGAGAGGCACAGGAGATGACCTGCTACAGGTGAAATCAAACAACAAAATGCAGAAGTCACTGCTGTTTTTTGACCAAAAGGAAAGCCCTCCAATATATTAGCTTGCTGAAATTCCCACCCAACACATCACAGTACTACCTCAAACACCTCTGCTCTCTGTCCATGTTTTTGACCTGACTCCCTTCAGCATTTCAGAGAAGCACAGAACAAACAAAAACTAGAAGCTAAATTTCTTAGAGGGGGGGAAAAAAAAAAAAAAAAAAGATTTCCCCAGCTCCTCTGCACAAGCAAGGTGTGAGATCCAAGCACATGCCAACAAACCAGCCTCTCTGCAAAGCTCCTCTGATACACCAAAATATTATACACTCATGACAAACTTCATTTCTTTATTCATGGAAACTTTAAGTTTAGCCTGCAGGCTGTCCTACGAGCTTCTTTTCTGCTCCTGGCTATATGAAAATGAGATGCCAGCAGTCATTTCCCTCCTTGAAAGCTTCCAGGAGCAAGTCCTGTATGGGGCTGCTCAGATGCTCTGCATATGAAGGTAAGCCAAAGGCAATCGAACCCTCTGGTAGCAAGCAGGTTTTGTTGGAAGCAGTATGAAGAAAATCTTTCCCTTTAGCATCTGCTGCCACCTAGACGTAAAGCCTGCTTTCTCAAAACAGAGTCTGCTACCAAGTAGGCACTAGTTAGGATAAATTTAGCTCTTCCTGAGCAGAAACGTTATTCTTACTGGATTTCTGAGCTGTCTGGGAGGTTTGGAAAGGACTGCAGCGTGAGACACACAGAGGGAGAGGTCTATACGTGGTGCTGCCAGCTGTTCTAGATAGGAAGCTGTCCCATAGTCACTTCCAACAGCTTTTTCTAGGGAAAAAAAGCACAGTCATGGGATGTGCTTATGCTAGTTACACAGCAGAGAGAACTTCTGCTTTTTGGAAAGATAGGGTTGGATTTTTTCTGCTTTAGACACAGTAGATGCATCTTAAGATGTGTCTTAAGAAGTCCTAGCTTAAGGACTGCCTTGAAGATGTGTGCTGACATCAATAAATAGAAGGCATTTTCAATCTTTTCAGGAGTTTTCTCCAAGTCCTGGAAGACTCCACAGGATAAGCCACACAGTCTGTATTGTGATATATTCCAGCAGTGTCTGGAAACAGAACTGGATGTTATTTACAGGAAGGCTCTGGATGTACAAATGACACCTGCCATTCTCATAATTCTGTTTCTAATTAGAGTTGGGTAAAATGTTTTAATTCTAAGTCCTCCCCAGCCAGGGATGGACTGCAGAAATAGAGCTGAGGGGACAGATTCTCCTCTGTGGCTGGGAAGGGAGCTTCAGAACTTACAACTGTGACAAAAACAAAACAAAACAAAACAAAACAAACCACCCCACCACAAAAAAACCTCTTTATTGTCATAGCAAAATCTTGGAAGTTTTTTTGAAACTGGACTCAAAGATGTATTTGCATTCCAAATAGTTTTCATTATAATCATCTAAGATGGTATTGCACAGCTGTGCAATACCAATGAACTGCAGTAATGTACATATAGCATCCTTGTCTGTAAACAGTGGTATAACAGAGTAAATAGTTTGTCCAGATTAACCCTGAAGAGGTTGCTTCCGTGATGTTTAACTGAAATGATTACCCACTTTTGGTTTACCGCCACTGTACTTGACACTAAGGACATGTGCCTAGTACAAAACATTGACAGATGAATCCTTCTAAGCAGTTAGCACTTGCTGTGCTTCATGAAGCCACACTGCTACAATTTGGTAATAGCTATTACAAATCATTTACACCAAAAGTTGAGAGACGGCTTCTTTCAACAGTTGAAAATTTACATTCCTGTTTAAAAACCCATTTTTAAAATCCACAGATTTCCTTCCAGAAAGTAGCATTCTGAAGGATATCAAATTGTGCATAAAGTATCTGTCCCAGGCTTCCACGTACATAGCAATGCATTCAACAGACACAGAAAAGGCACTGCATCATTTTTAGCACAAGGTTAAATAAACAAGCCTACAGTTACTCCTCCCTACGGGGAGTGGGAGGGACTAACAAACCAAAAGGGGTTTTGAAGGTAAGGTGGAAGCAGCAGTGGTCATCAAGATGGTCATTCTAGAAGTCTCAGCAATCTTAACCAAACTCAAAACACATGGCTTGCTCTCCACTCTTCAATATGCCAAAATCGTTTTAAACATCACCAATACTTTCATTTTGGTTGAAAGCTTTAGTTTGATTCTGGTAAGAGTATTCAGAAAGAGATATTAAAGACCAATTATACAACCAGTCATGCCTGTTTGTTTCTTTTAACACTAGTATCATCATCTAAATTCCTCCTCATCCACCTTGAGCAACGAACTACCATATTAGCTAACAATATTTTATCAGTTTCTGATAAGCAGCACTTTTGTGCTTGGCATCTACACTTCAAAACACGACTAACTACAGATGCTTAAATTATACATAAAGAGTCCTACAAATTTATATTGGTTTTCTGTATGTGGCCTATATCCAGAACATCCTTGAGCTCTTTTCCTTTCAGCTTTTTATGCATAGCATTTACATTTTTGAGTATTCCAATTATAGTCAGAATTAACCAACAACACGTACATGACTGTATCAAAGGCATCATATGCACTTTACAAACATCCTAAATTAGTTGTGTTAGAAAGAATTAGACATAAAATATCTGTTAAAAAACTGACCATATCATGCTGTTGATTAGTCAAGATGCTAGTGGTTCAAATACTAGGCAATTTTGGGATTAAAATTCTGGCACAGATGAACCAGATGCTCTTTCTACTTTGATCCATTAGAACAATTATAGGATTATTGCAATACATTTCTGTTAATTTGCACCTTAGGTGGCTTTCAGAAAACAGTAAACAGGATCCACAAGATGTTATATGAAGTGACAAAAAGTAAACCTTGGAAAATTTCAAATTTACTTTCAAGATTAGTGGCAAACAGCCTTACAGTGACAAGAGGCATGCAACGAGAACACATACAGTGACAGCTGCAACTTGGTCAGAGTTTACATAGGTGACAGCAGGTCGACGACTGAGAGCATTTTTCCAAGAAGAAAGCAGCGAGAACAAGAGCTCAGGAATTGAGCCCCCTTGGCAAAATGACTTGATAAGAAAAAGGAAGAGAAGTGATGAAGTCACAAAACAATGCACAAACAAACAAACAAAAAAAAAATGGTTATATCAATCACTAGATGAGTGCTAAACAAATATTCTTCTCATAAGATGAAGAAGAAATGTAATTCTTATCATATCTCAAACTTTGACTTGACTTCACCTTATTAAAATACTGGTACAGATCAAAGTTTGAGAGGTGAGGTGGAAATTTGAACACTCATAAAAAAATCCCTGCACAGAGAGCAAAAAGAGTGTGTGCTGAATATTTAATTATGTATTTAAAAAGCCAGTTGCGAGTATGCAGGTATACAACAAAAAGCCCTTGTAAAACGTTCTCCCTTAATATTTACAGCTTCATTTTATTCTGTTCATACTGTTGATACTTGTTTTTCTGACCCCATTCCAGTACTTGACAGTACACATACCTGAGTCTCGCACAGAAATATTGTGACTATGACACTTTTGCTCCACTTAATTACCAAAAGAATTTCTTCTTCTCCCCCCCGCCCCCCCATGACTGTATTTGGAAGGTATAACA